AATCACTTCAAATTGAATTAATTAAAATTCCTTTTATTAGTTTAACAATTTATATCTGAATTATGGTATTTGTTTTACTAATCATTCGTTTAATAAAAAACAAAAAAAACATGCAAAATAAAAAATTAATTTGAATAAAACGAACTTAATGAATTCTACTAGATAGAGCATGCAAGATAAAGAACTATTTCAACTACTGGGTCATCTTTGTCTTCTCCAACGTCGATCTGAAACAGATACGGTGGCAAACAGATTAATAAAGTGCAATTAAAATTAATTATATCAAGTATCCTCACCTTAATAAATTATAGAACGTAACATTCCAAAGTTTACAGTTGTGAAAAGTAAACCAACTCCAGGAGAAATACTGCAGCAGAGAATTTCTTATTTCCGTGGAATTCAAATAAATATCCAGTTGCACTACCTCATGGATTGAAAATTAACTGCATGATGTTACAAGGCGAAGATGAAACAGCAAATCAAGAATATAATCCAGGAAAGACCACACCTATGTAGACATGGGCTGTTTCAGTATAACCAAACTGCACATTAATTCTCTCATTTATTGTATAACCTGCAGAAATGGACAAAAAACATATTAATTACACTCATAATTAAGAAACACAAATACAAACGCATCAAAAAACAAGTAAAATAGTTGAATAATAAAATAACAAACATTACGCCATTTTACATTACAACCATAGAACACGACATAGATAAGTGTCAAATATCACGTCAATTTACGACGCAGACAATAGAAAAAGGTTAAATAGAAAATCCATAGATAGATAAACTCCATACATTTAAATAGAAAATCCACAGATAGATAAACTCTATACATAGATCAATGATAAATGTCAATTTATTCTGTGGAAAATAAAAACTGTCAGAGATATAAATGCACAATAACCTCAATTTATACTGTTTACTATAGGTAACTGTTAACAGAAATTTCATAACAGATAAATAAAAAGCTATTAATATTAATGAAGTCATGTATTCTCACCTTGATTAATTGTAGAAAGTGGCGTTCTACAGTCTACAGTGTGATGAGCAAACCAAATCTAGGAAGGATACCACTGCAAACAATTTGTTGTTCCAGTCGCTTCCAAATTAATTAATTTCTACCTGCCTCCTGTTGTTACGGCAAAAATTAACTGCATAATGTTGCAAGATGAAGACATCAAAATTATCAGTTGCTTCAGTAGCATCAAAATTAACTGCAATCCCTCGTCATTTGTGGGACAATCTATATAGAAACAGACAAGAAAAAGTAAATTAATTACCATTTTTAAAAGAAGTAAATCAGTAATATTTTCAAGTGGCAATATAGTGATAAAGTTAGAAGTTAACTCTCACATTGATGGAAAGGTCAGTTCCACAATAATTGTGCTTTTTCCATTTCTGCAAAGTTGTCTATTGAAGCAAGTTACAAATGTCCAAGAAATCAAGTTCCTGGGGCTCTCACTTACTAATTTTAATTGATACTGTTACATACCAGTTTATTGTCATAAATCCCTCCTTCAGCAACACACTTCTTAAGCACATTGTCTCCGTTCCCAATGGAAAGGCACTTTCATGCTTTCTTTATGACCATAGGAACAGTCACTTTTTTAGAGTCAATGAGGACCGACACAATCAATGCTCCACAATTTAATGGCATCTGGAGTTCTTCTAACATCCCTGTAAAATCAAATAATAAGAAAAAGTATTCAAATATAATAAATTTAGACCCCATACTAAGTAGAGTGCATAAATAAATTGTTAAAAGTAACGCCGTACCCTTTTGTCTTTTAATATCAAAAAAAAATACGCTACATATATACAATACAGCATGTATGCTCACCTTAATTAACTACAAGAGCATCCAGGATGAAAATTTAACAGCTTCGTTCCCAATGGAAAAAAGGCACTTTCATGCTTTTATTAGAACCATGGGAACAGCTACTTTCCGGGGCAAATGAGGACTAATACAACCAATGCTCCATAACTTCATAATTTAATGGTATACGGAGTTCTTCTAATGTTCCTGTAAAATGAAATCTTGTAAAGTGTTCAGATATAATAATTATTAAGTAAATAATGTGCACAATACATTGTTAATGCTGAATCTTTTTCTTTGTTAATATCAAATAAATACACTACATATAGAAAATATGGTATGCATGCTAAGCTTAATTAACTACAAGAGCCTCCAAGATGAAAAGTTAACAGCTAAAACACCACCAAAGGTGCATGACTTTTTTACAAGGATTTTATAACTGAAACTTGCGATTTAAAAACGCGGACATTATTAAAAATACAATACTTTTTGAAAAGGTAGAAATAAATTTTAGGTTTCATATGCATACGAAATAAATAACTGTCACAAATTTCTTACTGTTTGGACAGAAGATTAAAAGTTCATTGCGTTGTTACTATATGCTACAAAAAAAGGGGTACATTACTTCTTAATCAATTTCTATTTATGATAAAGAAACATCTATCTCCGTTACTATTATTACTTTATTGCATTTTTATACGCTCATCACAATTCTGTCAAATAAAACTAGCACTTTTATGTCGGCATTTTTAACTATGCGCATCTTTCTCTTATTAAGTTTGGATAATTGATTAAACTGTTTGTGAATAATATCTATACATTACTTTTATTTCTCTATTNTAAAACAATTACTTATTTTTGTGTTTAGCTTATAAGTGGTGCTGGTGTAAATAGTGTCGAACAATTTAATGTATTTGTTTATATTATTAGGCAGACGTTTTTACGTTATATCTGTTATATTATATTAATCATTTTCAAAATCAGAAAAATATAAATAACAAAGAAGTACATCAAGACCGTGAAACGCAATTGAAGATAGCAATGGAAACGTATCGCAGTGCAATGAATCAACTGGAAGATGAAGCATTTCAAGTAGCACTCAAGGAATTTGGAAAGCATATAGAAAAAGTTTAAAAACAAAGTAGGAATTTAAGAAAACGTAAAATGGCTAAAGAGGAATATTTCCCATCTAAGAAAAAATAAAGTACGTATGTAATCTAAACCCAAACATGAGTTTTTCTAAACATTAAATGAGATACCTTGATTAATAGTTTTTTTATTTTTTTAGATGATAAAGTTAACGGAAGCAGAAAGGAGTACATTAGGATTCAAATGTACAAAACCATTTTGTATGTACTCTTCAGAAAGACTTAATCTAATCGAAACAGTTGTACTGTACNTGATTTATAGTTAAATATGCAGACAAAAACTGTTAGTTTGTAATAAAGCAATAATACTCGAGCAGATAGATGCTTCTTAATGAAAAGAGCAATTGATTAAAAATAAAACAGTTATTTCTTTCATATGCATCGGAAGTCTAGAATTTATTTTTGCATTTTCAAAAAGTATTGTATTTTTAAAAAATCCGTGTTTTTAAATTACATGCCAATAAAAATAAACCGAGTTTTAGTTATCTCTTAAAAAAATAACATGCAAATGAAAATTTCCCACTCTTATGCCAATGAAAGGTGCTTATCAATTTTTTGACAACGGTTTTATAACTAACACTTCTTACGTTCCTGTAGGTATTTAGGTATTTAAAGAAAAACAAAAGATAACATAGTACAATAAAGTACAAACTAACTGCAAATTTTAGGTGGTTACTTACTAATTTAGAAATGCTCCAACTTTTTAATAACTAAAATCGACAGATGAGATAAATTCAAGTGTAAATTAATTTATTTATCCGTTGTTTATCATATATTCTACATAAAGGCCATTAATAATTCGGGAACAGGAAAGTTAAACCACAGAAATCGTTTATTAACAGACTAAATAAACTTTAAACGTGAACAATTTTTTTTAAAATAACAATAAGGTACTTCTTAAATGTTATACTGCAATTACCAAGTTTCTTAATTTAATTCGTTTAATGATTTAAATACGTTATATTGTGTATTTATTAATCAACCAAGTTACGGGTCAAGCCCTAATAATACATAAAAAATATAAGAATGAAAGTAATGTATACATGTTATTCACAAACAGTTTAATGCATTTTCCAAGCTCAATATCATTTGTAATTATTTTTCTTATATTTTTAGTCATGGTTTATTTAATTCGTTCTCAATTCGACTGTATTGTTTTTTTATGCATATGCTCTGCTTTTTCTTTACTGATTGTGCACTGATTTGATTATTTTTTTATTTAATAAGCTATATTTCGAGGAAGGACGAAAAACTATTTTCTATTTTTATTATTTATCATAGTAATGCCATTGGAAAATTTATTATTTATAATCATTACTAATAACTAATATGAAAATAAACTCCGCTTAGCATGATAGTTCAGTCTTCAGGCACAAATGAGATGCAATCAATTGGAGTTAAATTATCATTTCTAGTAGTTTTTGAATAAATTGACATTTATTTTCACCTATACCCCAAACAATTTTCCTTTTTTTTAACAGAACTAATGGACTCACAATTATGATACTTACATATTTAGAACCCGCAAACGACGCACAATTTATTGGTGAAGTTTAAATCAGAGGATTATTTGTATCGGGTGCCTGATTCACACGGCTATTATTTTTCGTTTGTTATCCTGTATCTATGATCTGAACTATTTACATTAATGACATACTTAATGTATTCCTGACAAGAAATCCATAGATAACCGCATCATATCCATCGACCGTATACTATGTCTATTACCATAGCCATAACCATAGATTAATCTTTGAGCCTATGGTGCGAACAGCGGCAAGCGGTCTTGTTTGTTGCTTGGAATAATGGATTCTGAAATTAAAATTTTTATGGTCGAAGTGATCGACTTAAAAAACATTACATTTTAATATATGCTAAAACTCATTTTAAATGTTACAATTTTTGAGTAATTACTACTATTTCCCTTTATTTTATGCAGTTCATGCTTGCAGAAATGTCTGTATTCATTTAAATAATACTGCTTTTTTATTTAATGAATAAGTGTTGATTTTGGAAATAGAGTTTATTGGAATTCAGTTTAATAAATCAAATTCCGGAAACATTTAAGGGTATGAGAGAGAGCATTGAAGTAGATTTTGACCCTACCAAAAAGCAAATGGTGCACTATGGAGTATTGTTCCTGCTAGATTTCGTTTAAAGTCAATTAATTTAAGAAGTATATACCACAATATAAGTGCCTAACATATTTTTATGCAGATTAATGGTCCACACGCGTCATTAACGAAGGTTGAAGTTTATGATAGGACTGTATGGCCATTACAATTTAGGTAAGGTTTTAAAACTTGTTGTAAATCATAATAATGTTTTTAGTTTATATAAAGAGGCATATGAATAAAATAGTTTAAGACAGTTAACTTTGTTAATAATATCTTTCATTTCAGCTTTCAATTGTTAATCTAGGCATGGTATTTGTGGCAATTAATTTTATTTAAAAACAATTATTTTAATAAAAGTTTATTAAAAAAAAACTATAAAGTATACTGCAGTTG